TCATGGCTTAGATATGTCGCAGGCGTTTGAGTGATGGAGGGAGTCGGCGATACACACAACTGTTTAGTTCCAGGTCAATCAATGACATGCCGTAACAGTGAAATGATGCAGTCAGACATGCAGCAGCATTGACAGCGTTACAGCAAAACAGATTACAGGTTTGTTTTTCTTTGTTCTCGAACCAGATGCACAAATCCAATGAAGCTGCTGCATTGGTGGTCACACCTCTGCTCAGACCTCTGCTCACCTTCACTCTTAAATGACATGCGGAGATTATGAAAAGGGGAAAGTATAAATAAAAGGTCTTTCCGTATCGATGGGATTTACTTGTCTCTTTGGGAAAAATGAGCCAATGTGCTTCTGACAAATCTGCTGCCATCACACGGCTCTGTACCATCTGTCGGTCTGCTCTCAAACTCTACTGTAGTGCTGTTTGCACCTAATCTGCCCTACCTACAGTCTCTTACGTAAGTTGCTGTTAGCCAACAAGCATTTCACAGTCCAGTTTTACACTTGCCTGATCCCAATTTTCCCCAAAAGGAGAAGACAAACAGAGGAAGGTGTGTGCTTGTGTGGAAACTGCAAAAAAGAAAAAAAAAAACAACCCTCCAAACAAAAACAAGTAAATGCTGAGAATAGCTCTGCTTGTCGAGGGGCTCCAGCATATGGTAGCCAGCGCTCATGACGTTGGAGTGGTGCTGGGTACTTGCTGGCGGCTGCACACAGGAGTGGAACATCGCAAGGGTTCAGTCTCTCACCACGTCCCCTCCTCCATTCTCTCCCTATATATCTATGCGTGCCTCTGCCTCGCCCTGCCTCATAATCCATCTCTCCCTTTCTCTGCGCCTGTCTGCCGCTCTGGAACGAGATGGAGACAAGGAAAAAAAGCCAAAAGGGAGGATAATGCCCGTCAGTTAATGTCTCGTCTCCGCTCCGACTGACAGCTGCATTCTGTTAGGTGTGCTGCTATTTCCGTGGCGAGGAGCCGGAGCACACCATTTATTACTGCAGCATGAAGTTCTGCTTCAGTGCAGTGCAAGCGG